CCAAACATCACCACTGCATATTCTGTACCATGCTTCCGAAACGTTACCGCCACTGCAGTGCATTCCGTGCCACGCTTCCCCAAACATCACCACTGCATATTCTGTACCATGCTTCCGAAACGTTACCGCCACTGCAGTGCATTCCGTGCCACCCTTCCGAAAACATCACCACTGCATATTCTGTACCATGCTTCCGAAACGTTACCGCCACTGCAGTACATTCTGTACCACGCTTCCCAAACATCACCACTGCATATTCTGTACCATGCTTCCGAAACGTTACCGCCACTGCAGTGCATTCCGTACCACGCTTCCCAAAACATCACCACTGCATATTCTGTACCATGCTTCCCAAACATCATCACTGCGTATTCTGTACCATGCTTCCCAAATGTTACCGCCACTGCTACACAATCCGTACTACGCTTCCCAAATGTCTGCAGATGTGCCGATTGCATCCGCCTTAATTTTCTCTTGTTCTAATGCTCCGGTCCCACTAACATCCTCCTTCATCAGATACTTCAAAGCACAGATGATTAGTTTTTATGGCCCCGCAGACAGAAATAAATGAGCAGAATCAGACCCATTGCTCATGTCTGGACGACAACGTTTTGGCTCCCAGTAAGCCTCCGCCTCACCCCCCCAAAGCGGGAACCGTTTTAAGGGCCGGCATGTCTTTCACACTACTGGTCAAGATGGGTACAGGGATGACACAGAGTGGAAGCCGATCTGTGGAAAAAGTCACCACCGATGGCCCCCCTTCCACTGAAGGCTCTGGAGCATGAAAAACCAGTGGTGAGGTGATCACTGACCCCCACCCCTCACCTCAGGGCACCACCTGCTCAAAATACTCGCTTTTGGGAAATAACCTACAAATCTGCCAAAAAGCAGAACAAACTGGCACTTCAACAGACTCACTCCCAGAAGCATTTTCTGGGTTAACAGGTGACCCTGGGGCGATTCAGGGCCCCTACACGGCCCCAAAGCCCCCACCCAATCTGAGATTCTAATTTTACATCTGCTTATTCTTACTCGTTATTGGTTTACACTTCATCCACATTTCCATTTACTTATTCAGCAAATGCTTTGGTCCAAAGACAATACCTCAGATCACACATTTCTGCTCACTTTTGCACAAGTTTAAATGGAAACCTGTCGTCAGTCACCCAATTTACTCGCTGCACTCGTCTGTCCCGTCACGCGATGTTGTTGCCGTCAGAGTAGGACCAGAAACGCCTGAGTCAAAACTGGTATCGAAGTTGGGAGCGGTCCTTTCCGTTCCTGAGGCTTTGATCATAAAATCTTTCCCTGTGGAAAACAATGACCACCTTTCTTCCAAAGTTTTCGATGTCCAAACCCGTGAAATCTGGTCCAGCAGCATAAAAAACAAAAAAGGCACACGTCTGAAAATGGGAAATCAACAGGAAAGTAACAGGAATGAAATGAATTAGAGAATCCTTCCGGAATGTTCCGGGGAGTGGAGCCGAAACCGCGTCACACTCTGTAAACAGGTAACGGATTCAACGGACACTTGCTGGAGTGCCTGGGAGACGGG